GTGGACCATCTAACCCAGATCTTCGACCGATTTGAGAAGTTTGGCGTTATACGCAATCCATCAGTGTGTGTTTTGTGTGCTGTCTCTTGAATTCCTTGGCCAACTTGTCAGCTCCAAAGGTTTGCGTCCTCTCCCATCTAAGGTTGGGGCCATTCACGAGTTTCCTCCACCAACTTCGAAGCGTCAGTTACAACGTTCTATTGGCATGGTCAACTTTTCCCGCTGGCTTCTCCCAATTGTGCTGACCTTATGCTTCCTCTCACCAATCGACTCTCTGATCCTAAGGTCCCCCTTGAAATTTCTGGTGACGAACTAACTGCTTCTGAGACAATCAAAGCCCGCTTGCAGACGCTATCTTACTTACACATCCCGCTCCAGAAACTCAGCTGTCATTGATGGTTGATGCTTCGAACATAGCCGTTGGTGCCATCTTGCTTTCCTACCGATTTGTCACAATCTGACCTCTTTAAGATTCCCCTCATAAGAGACGCCATTAAATTGTTAATTAGAATATCTGAAAAATTTCCGAATGAATGAGAAAGTTCGCGATCCAGGTATTTGCATGGATGAGGAAGAAGGCGTGTTGATCTGGTGCTCGACACGCCTTCTTCCTCGTCTATTTGAAAAAAATGTTTACTAATACTGTGCCTATACCCTTTTATTTACCCCATAATTTGTATTGACAGACATTATATGTTTCTAAAGCAGGATTAGATCCATGTGAGAAGACGCTTAACTTTTTAAAAAATTTCACTTATTTTCAGATTCACAATCCTCAATAAACGTTGGTAGGCGCTTAAACGATTGCCTCCATTAAAATCTAGCCGTGGATATACCCCAAACAACACCTGGAAGGAAAAGAGTCGTCAGACTAAAACTGTTGGCAAACTATGCGACCCGACTCAACACAATTCGCCTCAAATGTACGCATTTTACTCATAAACTAATTCAGACAAATTCCGGGGGAGATTAGAAGTATTACTAATGTTTCGTATGGACCTTGCGCCAGTTAGAGAACTGCAGTTTTTACGCCTCGTCCTCCATTTGTAACAACACCAGAACACAAAACAAAAGTCTTCATAGGGAAATGATTTAATGCCGCGTTGCCCAAACATTTTCGTACAAAAATAAGTGGCAGGGAAGATCTTTGGAAAAATGTGACAGTGAGGAGGAGACTAGGATGGATTCTCTTGATTTTCCTCTAGAACGAGAAAACAAATTAATCAGAAAAACGGTAAAACGTGATAAGCATAATGCAAAAGTTTAGGCTGCCACCACCATGCCCAATGTCAGCTTATCCGCGTCATTGTCATGTGCTCAAAAAGTATGGCTTAGTATTAACTAGCCACAAGAAGGCATAACGTTGACGCCATTGGCTGCAGGTAAATCAGGGTCTTCCGAGCGCAAATGGTACTGTAGGACTCGCAACGATTGCAGCAGCGTTGGGGACGAAAAGTGTGAAAATGCATACTTTGGCTGAGTAGGGGTGAATCGATGGGTAAAGTGAATTTTAGACAAGCGGGCCATTTCAAAAGTAGTCGGTATTTCAAATAGCCATTGAGAATCCGAAGCGTCCTGTTCCATGAAAACCGAGATAGGTTTAAAACGGTTTCAGAACATGCCTTAAAAAAACAGCATTTAGCTGCAACGACAGGCAAGAATCCTACAAAACTGACACCACTACATGACCAAACTGAGGTATGAATTTGAAAATGGGCATCCTAAGAAATATAATTTGATGAGAAAGAGTCTTTGGGAGATGCGAACGAACTTTATTGAAAATTTTCGACGCTGGCACACCAGGTTGTCTTCGGACGTGAGGGAAATGTGTGAATAACAGTGCGCATTTTTAAACGTGCCGAAAAATCGATAATGATTCGTCATCCTTCGTCAATATCAGGTCTTGGTGGTTGGCGCTTTTTCCGGGCTTTTTTGAGATTGATGTTCATTGAAGCTAAATAAACGTTTCTGTTGATGCATGATTCGTTAGAGTTAATGGCCTCTAAAAATTCGTGGTATTTCCTAGATGGCAGGAAACTATTATGCAGGGTTAGTCCCGTGCAAATGTGTGCCCAGTTCCAAACGAATGCATGGCGACTTCGGACAGGTGGTCGCGCCTCTTTACCGCTACCCGATGTTCATATATGTGTGTAGAGGCGGCCTTCCTGTTTGTCCACAATAAATTACATGGCAGTCGCCGCAAGGAATTTTATAAACGAACTCTTTTCTGTTCCAATAGCCAACCCTATCATTAGGGTGTACAAGCTGATTTCGAAGTGTAGTCGTTGGCTTGTGCGCCACTTGGATCGGGTGCC